TATTAATTATAGGAAGTAAATAGTTTGGTAGTTCCTCAAAATGTGAAACATAGAAGTATTTTATGATCTAGCATTTCCACCCCCAGGTGTATAACCGAGAGAAATAAAAACGTGTACGTGAATGTTCATAAATGCTTTATTCATGATAGCCCAAGTGGGAACAACTCATATGAGTAAACTGATGAATAAAATGTCGTATATCCATTCAATGGAATTTGGGAGGGAATAAAAAGGATGAAGTGGTGATACATGCTACAATCTGGATAAATTTTGAAAACATTACACTAAATGAAAGCCACAGAACACAACATACTGTATGATTTCACTTATATAAAATGTCCAGGATAGGCAAAAATACAGAGGTAGAAAGTTGACTGTTGGTTTCCTAAGGCTGGGGGAGGGGACAGGAGGGCTGGTGAAGGACTGCTAATAGGTAAAGACGGAGATGGGCAGGGGGCATAAATATTCTAAAGTTACATTGTGTTACTGGCTGCACAACACTGTGAGTGTATTAAGAAACATTGAATTGGGCACTTTAAATAGGTGACACAGATGTCGGTGAATCGTATCAATAAAACCTTTAAGAATTTCAAAAAAATTCAAGGGAAAAATGGAAATAATCAAAATATCTATCAACATATCAAATACATATACTCCATCCTGTTGATGGAGCATGATGTAGTCTCTAAGTATTATAAACCCCAAAGACTGTGTAACAGCACAGAGTATATGTAACATGATGGTAAATGAAAGTGTACAAGAGTGTGATGCGAAGTGGCCATTGTAGCGAAATACACATGCATTTGGATGAAGGCTGGCAGGAAACTCAAGAGTCAGGAGAGTAGGTGAAAGGAACGTGCCTCCTTTCAGAAGTCCCAGTAATGTTGCTGAGTGTTTCAAAAGCACTCGTTTTAATGTTTCTGGTGAGGTAGCCTTGTGGTAGTTACAGGTGGTATTGAAGATGCGTAAAACACAGGAAAGAAAGGACAGAGCACAAGGACATTAAAAAATCAACATCTAAGAAATAGAAATGTAAGTGCAAAAATCAGCAGAGCATTTAAGGGAAACGGGTACTGAGGGAGGTGCCGGAGGATGGAGAAGCAGGTCAGGCTCTAACAGGATTCTGCACGGAAAACTTACAACCTGGAATGGTTGCGAGTATGTTCTGTGCTCTGAGCCTCTCTCTGCTGGCAAGTTTTGAGGGCAGGGGATTTTCATGTACCGGAGCTGGTGTAGGTCTGTGATAATAACCCAAAGGAAGTGGGAACACTTAGCAGTGTGCACAGTTTACTTAAGTTCACCAAAATTGTACTGGAGTGTGGATAAAGGGAGGAAGTCTGGTCAAGCCTGAGTGAGTCAACATTTCATGGTCCTCCACCCAGCTCTCCTCCCTTCCCAAGGCCACCTCACCTCTGTGTCTGTGTGCGCGACCTTTGCAAAGAAGGAACTCCAGTTGGCATGGGTGGAGCAAACCCAAAGTCCGGTTGGTTGGCTTCAACCGTCGAGTTGGGGGGCCAGAAAGAAGAGGGACCAGAGCAATGGGGTTGATCTGTATCTGGTCTTTCTTCAAGAACTTTCTCCTTCCTCGGTTGCCGCTGAATGCTTAAAATATCACAGTTCCTTCAACATTCTCCATCCCAGAAACAGCTCATGCTTTTGTGCGGAGCAGCTAAAGTGCTGTGTCAGCGGTTCTTTGAAAGCACCCTGTAGGTGGAAGGTGCGGTTATTTTTCCTCCAGATAAAGAATGGGTGACAGGAGGAGGCTGGAGAGAGAGATGGCAGTCTTAAAGTAGAATCTGCTTCCATCTCCAAACAGAACTCATTGTTCCCAGCCCTGCACTGTAGGGAAGAAGGCCAGGCAGTCAATGGACATCAATGCCCATGTTTCCTATGGAGTATGAAATCAAGATTTCTGAAGGAGCACGCATTCTTTCCTTCAGAGATATTAAGATTGTTTGAGCCGGTCAGTGATGCACCACCCTTAAGCAGATGCCACCTGGACAGATCCCACTGCTCAGTCAACTAGCTGAACTTGCCTGGTGATCCCTGCATCCTTCCTTCTTAAAATCCTTGATTAGTTTTGTCCTTTGTTGCCAGGAGTTGCCTTTATATTTCAGACTCCAGGATAAACACTGAAGCTTGTAATTATAGGTCATGACACTAACCACTTCTTTGGTCTCCTTTTAGGAATCAGCCTTAGAAAAGTAACCCCAGGTACCTGCCATGGGGAGCTCTCTGAGTAGTTCTTCATCTTCTCAGGAATGCTCTGAAGTTATTATGGGAAGGAGATAAAGGGGCAATTTTGCCCTTAGTGTGCAGAGAGCAGGAGAGAATGTCCAACTTGTCTGAGGGCTTCAACAACTTTTCTCTAATTCTCTATTATTCTGCTTTGTCCAAGTCCATCCTCAGTGTCCCTGTCCCTACATTTAGCAAATGGTGAGTTAGATGGGGAGCAACACTTAACCCCAGTCACCTAGCCACTCAGCCATCCAAACAGCAGCAACAGCAAACCCTGCGTGGAAAGCCTGACATGAGGAAAGGAGCCAGGGAAAGGGAAACACTATCAGTGATAACTATATGCCCCTGACCCTCTGCGTTTTGAATGTAAACCCTTTATTTCAGAAATTCCCTTTTATATACAGCCCAGAATCATCACATATTTTCCCACCCAACAAATAATTTCTGGGTAAGAAATCTGTGTTGTGACTCTTGGGTTGCTTTAGTCGTTAGTATGCCCAGTGCAGTCGTATCAAGGGAATCTTTGGTCTAAAGAAAATCAAGCTGCACAACCACCTGAGAAAACTAGTTACACGTTGCCATAGCAACTGGACCAGCCTCAGAGGAAGGGCAAGTTTCTTCAGATTCATCTTCTGCATCTGCACATTGACTTCCTTGAGCCAGAATCCTGTGTCCTGATCATCGTCAACACCGAACCTGTTATTTTCATTAGGGAAAAAAAAAATTGCAGTCACAGTTGATATATTTGGGGCTTTTTCCCTGGTGCCATTCAGTGTCTTTTTATCTCTGAAAGGTGGAATTTGGTAACTGGATCCTTTGGAACTTTCATTCATGCATTCACTAACATGGTTGGGACTTGAGCCAGCGAGTTTGGTAGTAATTAAACTTTGATGGCTGGAACATGACCTGTGAAATGAGTTGCTGGTCTCAGCTTAACTCCTAATGGACAAAAATCCACATCCCTCGGAATCCAACCATAACCCCTGTTTCCAGACCATAGGAAGAAGTCGGAGGTTTGACTTGCTTCTCCTGGGGGCAGAATGCAGGGTCTTTTCCCCGGGAGTGATGCTTTGCCTTTCCAGGCCACAGACAGCTCCACAATTAGTCTCAAAATACCCTGCGAAATGTGTGTAAATAACACAAACCACATTTACAGGCAGGGCCACCCTGGTCGAAAGTACAAGTTATTTGCCCAGAGTAAGATAATTAGTAACAGCAGGGGTAGAGATTCCAGAGGGCCCTACTCCATCCCTTTGCAAAGACCACTGAAAAATCTCTTTCACTCAAGAAACGTGGCCAATTAATGGACAGCGGGAGGCAGGGATGGGTCAATACTTGCTGATTCATTTCTAAAGGTCATTTTTATTTTATGGGGTTTTGGTACCTGCAGTTAAGTTTTATTTTATTTTTTTTCGATAACAAGTCTCTTGATGTTTCCTCTAATGAGACTGAAAAGAGATTGAAAAATCTGTGTAGTGAGAATAAGAGCTGAGGGTTGGAGAGAGCTGGATCTGCTGGGATGTTTCTACGTAAAGAAAAGATTCAGCTGAAAAATGGGAAGCATACTCTAGCAGAAAGCACTTGTAACAACATACCACGAACTGGGTGGGTAGGGGAGGTGGTGCAGAGGGGCTTTATAAACAGCAGAAATTAATTTCTCACAGTTCTGGAGGCAGGACATCTGAGATCAGGATGCCAGCACGGTTGGGTAGGGGCACTTTTCCAGGTCACATCGCAGAATTCTGGTTGCATCCTCATATGAGAAAAAGGCAGGCAAGCTCTCTGGGACCTCTTTTACAAGGACATTAATCCCATTCGCTTCCCAGATCATTTCCCCAAAGCCCCACCTCCTCATACCATCACCTTGGGGATTAGGATTTTAACATATGAGTTTGGGGGTAACAAAGGTTCAGACCAGAGCAATGCATAAGACCTGTATTAGATTGTGAAGGACACAAAGATAATTAAGACTTAAGTCCTGTCTTCAGTAGCTCACCTTCCCAGCAGACAGTGACAAGTACTCTAATAATAGTACATGGATCCTGTGATGGGAGAAGTGTATTCTGACTTTAGCCAGAAGTGGAGGAATATAGTGAAATGTTTCTTAGGGAATCTGAGCTGGGCTTTTTAGGACAGGTAGGAAATCATAGACAGATATTGAGGAAAGAATATTCTAGAAACCAGAAACAGTATAAACAAAAGCACAGATTGGAGTCTACTGAAGAAAAACACATTGACCAAATGTGCCTTGAGGTTTAGGTTAAACTGTGGGACAGAGTTGGAACTAAAATGAGAAAGTGAAGAAGAGCCACATTTTGGAGTATTCTGAAAAGTGAGTAGAGAACTTTGGACATTATCCCACATAGAATCAAAGATTTGAAAGCCAGAAGTTTAACTGTGATCAGTGTTTTTATGTAATGAGATGTTAGTCAAGTTATTTTTTGAAAAAAGATTCACATAGTCTGATCTATGTTCTAGGGAGATAACTTAACAGATTAGGCTCAAAATATTCTGCACTTATGTCAAAATTCCTTCAAAATGTCATAAATGGTTTTGTAATATACCCCTGTACAAGGTTAAATGAGTTTGCACAGACTGCAAACTGAAGATGCTTGGGCAAAAACGCTGACTCGGGTATTTCAAGTGACAACCATTAAGTTTAAGTGCTTGAGGCACTCTCGTGAGAAACAGGGAAATGGTTTCATGCAGCAGGAAAGCCAGCCAAGTCCCTGAAATCTCTCTCTCTGTCTCCTTTCTTATAGGACCAGCAATGGAAACCTTCGATGTACGGCAGCATGACTCCAATCTGCTTTACAAGCCCTCTGATTGAGAAGCCAGGTGGCAAAGTAAGAATTAAGTCACTTCTTGTCGAACAGTATGATTCGAGCCTGTTGACTGTTCTTTCTCTTTGTCTTGAGTTATCTGGGTGACATAATCACATTGATCTCATAAGAGGGGCTGATAAAATCCAAATTTTGAAGTCTTTAGTTGGCCCTAGTGGCATTTGCCCTAGGCAAAATGTTGAGCTGAGTGATGTTGATTTGAGATCCCTTTGCCTCAGTATCTGCCTGCACTTCCATCTCGATAATGTCCTTCCCAACTCCCATCAGTGCCCTGCTTTCTCATTTCGTTGACTCACCTTCCCTTGCCTATCAGAACTTATTACAAGGAAAGAGGTGGCCTTTAGTCATTTACATCGTAGAGGAGGAAAAAAAAATCTATTTCCTCTATTCTCATGGGCTTAGGACATCGGGTGATGCAAATTAAACTGGAAAAAAAAAACCAGATTAACAGGGGAGAGGGTTTACCACTATGAATAAGGAGGCCTTCAGAGAAAAGAAGTGAAGACCCAAAGAAGCAATTGTATTTGAGGCTTACATACCATTTTAACAAAGAGTGATAAGCTGTGGAGCAGTGACAAGAGACAGGAAAAGGGGTTTGGGCTTCTGTGGGTGGTAAATTGTGAGATGTAAATATATAGGAGAAATTAATGGAAGATTAGGAGTTATTTAGTAAGGTTTGTTGTGTAAACTCAAGTTGGTGCCTTCCGTAGATGAGTTATCTCCGGTGATTAAAAGTCATCTTTTTCCTGGTATGGGAAAGAAAGACACCTTTACAAATGTATGTTACCTTTGCCAAAGGAAATTTATGTGCTGCTTTTAGACAGAAAGGGAGAGGACAGAGAGCTTTTCCCACATCTGCTATCTCTCAGTTGCCTTTGGCTCAAGAATAGTCCTTATGCCCAAGTGGCATATTTTGGGGTGGCGCATTCTGATCCTCTTCAACATTTTCGTGTGAAATCCAACTACCATACCACCTCTTTCGAACATATTTGTTATTTAAACTGTCTTGTGGAACGAAAGACTTTGCCTCTAGAAGAGAAATTATAGGTATTTGCCTAGACTGCTGCTGTTCCAAACCTGAAATCACACCCACAGTCCCACCAGGGAGTGTAGAGCCGAACAGTTAGGAGGGTGGGCTCACTGGAGCCAGCCTGCCTGGGTTCAAATCCCAGCTCTGTCATTCACAGGCTCTGGGACTTTGAGCAAGTCATCTGTAAAGAGGGCTCCATAATAGTACCAGCCTCATGGGACTGTCATCAGAATGAAATAATTTAATATAAATTCACAAGAACAAGAATTTTTTAACCTAGTTTATTCACTGTGTATCCAAGTACTCAACAGAGTATGCAAATAAATTGAATGAACGAATAAATGAAAAACTATACACATAGTAGACTTAGAGGAAACACACGCTCAATTAATTTGTGTATGTAAAGAAATGGGAGCCAGGGGGTGTTACATGTTAGGAAGAGAAACAAAACTCTGATGAGTACATCGAGGACAGTTTCCAGGCAAACCCTAACAGAAGGACCAGTCTGCCTGGGGTACCAGCCACCTTCCTGTCCTTTGCTAGTGGTGCACCTCTGGACCACAGGCAAACCAAAGACTAGGATGAAACACAGTCATTGTCAGCACAAGTCAAAAACAAACAAAAGTTCTTTCAATAGGGCTTTTCTCTCCAAGATCGAGATACATGTGGGCAGAACTGGAGTTTTTTCAGTTTTTGAAAGGAAATGAATCTATTCTCCCAACAATTCCCGGTCATTTTGCCTTGGCGGCAAGTCCTGCCGAGGCAGCTGTCTGCAGAGTGTGAACTCCTGGCTGAACAGGAAGCCTCCTTCCCAGGCTGTCAGCGTTGCTGACGTTTTGCAGGCGTAGCAAGGGGAGTGACCCAAGCTTCTTGAGACTGATGTTCTGGACTTCATGTTCAGTAAGGTCAGCACTTCCCCTCTGCTGACTTCAGTTCCTAGTAAGAGGAATATCCTTTGGCCCAAAGATTAAAACAACAAACAAACAAAACACTCCCTGAACATCACAGAATGTGTTGGCAACAGCTCCATTTCACTGCCTTGCCCCTTCCTCTGTCCCCTCCGGCCTCAACTATTTTGACTCTGTTTGTATTGGTCCTGAATAGACCACCACTTTGTCTGTGGGGACGGAAAGAAGCCATTTCAAAGGCTGAGGTCAGAAGTCAGTGAACCCCAGAGGAGTCTTTTGACTAAATTTCATTTCAATCCAATAGTTCTGCGTTTATTCAGTGTTTTCCTAGACCTGGTTTCAATAACACTAACAACAGTATAGAAATGGTAGAGAGTGACTTTTGGGTGTGCTTGTCAGAGAGCAGAAGGAAGTGCAGTGCAGTGTGACTGTTCTGGGTTCAGTGGTATTAAGCTTTGTGCGCCTGAGGTCTCCCTCCCCACAGAGCAGAGTAAGCAGGGAGGTGTCTGTCTGGGCAGGGACACCAGGACTTCCCTGGGGTGAGTGGGGCTGCTCCCAAAGGATACTCTTGCTCTCTTTTCTCCCCATAGTTTGGCTTCTGGGCTCATCACACTTTGTGTAAAATACTCTAATGAATTCATTTGGCAGCCAGCTCTGTGATCCATCCACCTGGAGGGGAAAAATTATGCCAAAGAAGTAAGAAAGGCAAGCTTTAATTATAGGGGTCAATGGAAGGCAGCATTGGGGGTGAATAATTGAAACCTGTGGTTAATCTGCCCTGAATCCAAACTCTCTTCCACTGCCAAGAAACTTTCTGTTGAGTAAAACACTGCAAGCTGGACCCGGATGCAATTTCTATCACCCAAATTATGGAGCCTCAAGCTGAACCAGGGACCAACGTTTCCTCATTATGGGAAGAGGGGCAGAGGGGAGGAAAGGTGGTTTGGAAACACCATTCAGAAAACAGAGGATTCCAATGTGAGCTCATAATAGAAAAAAAAAAAGAATATTTTGTAACCAACTCCAGTCTTACCAGTAAATGATAAGTCTTTTCATGAGTGGTTATGATTAGAGGGTAGGAATAAAGGAGGGAAACTTCTTGGGGCAGAGAGGGAGAAGCCAGAGAAATCACTCTGGCAGCAAGCAAGCCTGGAATGTGTGATTATTCACACTCCGAACCAAGAAGGGTTTCCTGTTTTATTTTACATAATTGGAGTCAGCGCCTTTTGAATGGAGCATATAAATTTATGTAAATAAGAATGCAGATGTTAAAAATATGTGTCTTGGGATTTCCTGGGGATGACCCGGCAGCTTTGTCTTCCTCGCCTTTGCAGCAGCTAAATATTGTGTGTGAACACTCAGGATGAACTTATTTCCCCAAATCCCACAATGTTGTAACTAGAGGACTTTCTTTGTAATTCATAGGAGATACTCAGGAGAATGAATTAAGACAGACTACTTTAATGTATTTGACAGTAAACATGTTACCCCCAAGAGGTTGCACAGGCTAACAATAAGTGCAAGGAGGATTGGAGAATTTCAATTAATTAATGGCACATTCAAAGTGGACTATTGAAAGGGGATTAGAGAATAATGATGGAAACAAAGCAGGGACTTAGGGAGATAGGTAACATTAGAAGATGACATAAAATTCAACTTCCATGTTCTCCCACAAAATTCTCACTGGTGCTACTGACAAGACAAGAAAGTGGGCTGAAAGAAGTGTTAGTTCAACTCAGCAAAGCATTGTGCAGATCATACCAAGTCAAAACAACCCAGGGAAGTGCTGTGACCTCTGACAATTGCATAGAACACACAAGCAGACAGAGCTGTTTTGGATTAAGGGCTATGCCAACATGTCTTTCTCAAATGAATTCAGATGACAGGTAAACTTGTCCTCAATCTAAAGAAATGTAAATTTAATTCATTATTTGATTTGACTAGGAGGAAATGAAGAGATAAACCACCTTGAAGGAAAGCAGTGTTCTTGAAGGGTGGCTAAGAAAGTAACTAAGGCTCCCTGGGCCTTCTGTACTTCTGGGTGAGTAAACGGAAAACTGGAGGAGTTAGGTGGAAGTAACTGGATGAACAACCGATAAAAAGAAAGGAACTGGTGAACTCAGGATCAGAAAAATATAAAGCTGCTTTATTTTAAAGTTGGGAGGCATCTGTGGGAAGAAAAGAAATAGAGGTGTCCCTTTTTGCAGATTAATCTTTAGCTCCTTTAGAACTGGAGAACTTTTCTTACCAAAGGAAAATTTAGCTTAGCCAACAAGGGCCATTTTAAGAACAGTCTTCTAAATCATGGCCCATTGAGAATCTTTGAACTTTACATCATTCTATCATGGCTGCATCTGGATAGACAGCGCATATTTTATGAGAGCTACCTTGGGACCTAATACTTAATATTTAAGGCTCTACGTAACCAAGGAAGATGGAGAAACCAACCCACAGACTAGTCTGTGGCCTACTGCTGCTTCCAAAAAAATGCCCAAAGTCAGAAATAGAATAATCAGAAGATAATAAAAATTTTGAGCAAAGCAAGCCACTATAATTGCTACAACTATAGATAAACATAATTTTAATTTTAGGGATGGGGGTTGAGTGTCCCTGATTTGACTGGATCTCTTTCTCTATACATTTAGCTTCTGGACACTGAGGCAAAATGCATTAAGCCAAGTATTTTTCTTCTAGGGCTTTTTGTGACAAGGTGAAAGAAGTTAAGGAATCAGTTTTCTTCTTCTAAGGTAGTGGTGGTTTTAGTTGGGCATATGTCCACCCAGCTAAAGAGCACATTTTTAGCCTCCCTTGCAGCTAGATGTAGCCATATGATGAGACTATGGCCAATGGGTTGTGAATGGAAGTGATGGATGCAATTTCTGAGTCATGCCCTTCATAGGAAAGTCATGCCCTTCTCACTGGCTGGAATACAAATATGGTGGCAGAAGCTGAAATAGCCACTTCAGACCAAGAGAGCATGGCAGAGAAACAACATAGAAGTGTGGGCGGCTTGAGTTTAGACTGCCATTGCCTAAGACAGGAATCAACTTCCATCTTGTCCACAT